CAGTTTCTCCAGGTGGGGCCGGGGTTGCTCACTCTGTGCTCTTCACACGAACATGCTGCCGTGGGGTCTGTGCAGAAAGTGCCTCAGCTCTGCCTAACCGTCTGGCACAGGTTTGAAGCTGGGGGCACCTCGGTGGCCACGCCCCGTGTCCAGGAAACTACATCCTCGTGGAGGCATCATGGGGAGCGTGTGCTGGCCACTTCCTGTTGGCCTCGGGGCAGGGGCGGCCGCTGGACAGGACCCAGGCCATCCACAGGCTCCTCGAACTGTTTGTTCTCCAGCTGGTTCCCAAAGGTCGAGTCAGAAGCACACGTTTGTCAGGACAACCTGTCAGACGCGCTGACGTGCTCACACCCCTCACGCCAGGCCCTCCCTGTCTGTCACGGGAGGAGAACCAGGACGGGGTGGAGGCGACGAGCCTCTTGGTTCCACAGGTTCTCACAGGTTTGTCTGGGAGGCGTGGTTGGCAGACGGGAAGCTGTGCATGCGGGACACACACGTTGATGATCTCGTTTAGTCACGTTAACCAGTCACAGCTGTGGGCCTTCATCTGTTTGGATGAGGGGGAGGATTGTTGTGTGAAATGTGTTCAGAATAAAGATCTGGCCCGGCCGGCGTGGCTCAGTGGTTGCACAGCATCCTGTGAGTCAGGCGGCCTATTCCTGGTCAGGGCACACGCCCGGGTTGCAGGCTGCATCCCCAGTGGCGGGTGTGAGGAGGCAGCTGATCAGTGTTTCTCTCTCATCATCGATGTTTCTCTCTCCCTCTCCCTTCCTCTCTGAAACCAATACGAACATGTCTAAAACATGCATCTGCACGCAGACCGGCCTGTGAGTGTGTGGTCTCACCCCTGGCGCTGGGGTCAGAGGTGACAGGACCCGACGATCAGAGGCCATGCAGCCAGCAGGTGTGTGTGTTTGGGTTTTGCTTTGTTTCCATTGGACTCGGATACGCACGTTCACCATTTAACCGTCTTCCGCGCCCCGTGTGGCGGGCGAAGTGCAGGCACGTGGTCGTGCAGCCGTCGCCACCACCACCACCACCGTCGCTCCCCACATCAGTCCTTCAAGGCCTAGCCGTTTTTTACCTCGTAAAGCGCTCTGAAGTTTTGTGTGTGTTTTTAAAATCCTCACCCGAGGACATTGTTTTATTAATTATTATTGAGAACGGAAGGAAGGGAGGAGGAGGAAGGAGAGAGAAACATCGATAGGTTGCCTCCCACATGCGCCCAGACCCAGGCCAGGGGTTGAGCCCCGGCCGAGGTCCGTGCCCTTGACTGGGAGTCGAACCCTTGATCCTTCAGTCCCAGTCCAACGTTCTAACCATTGGGCACCAGCTGGGGCCCCTTGTTTGCTTTTGAAGCCTGAGTTGGGGCCTCGTCCTCCTGTCAGAGCGCCCTGTGCCC